AGGATAATAAATATCTAATAACTTATATCTATTTAAAAAAAGAGACAAAAATTTGTTAGTAATACATTTTTAATCCTAAAATTAAGTTTAAGCATTGGCCATTGTAATAATGCATGACTAAAAAATATTATGATGTGATCTTATTCAAGGCAAAGGAATATAATAGTGTAAAAAATAATTCATTATTTTGAAGTCTTGTTTTGAATATCAATTTTGTTTTAATTACAAATTTCAAAGTTAATTAAAAATATTTGATCGGCACTGATTTTTGAACTCTTCAAGAATATTGATGATATAAACCTATAATATAAATTTCATAAAAAACTAGCAAGAATTATACACATTAGAGCGCTCATAAGACAATTTTGCATATAATTAATATTTCCAAGGGGCATAACTCTTTTAAAAATTATTGATCGGCACTGATTTTCAAATTCATCCAAGAAATTGCTAATATAAACCTATGATTAAAGTTTCATAAAATTCTGGCAAGAATTGTACACATGAGAGCACTTACAATGCAATTCTCCATATAATTTATATTTCCAAGGGGCATAACTCTTTTAAAAATAATTGATCGACACTGATTATCGAACTCGTCCAAGACATTGCTTATATAAACCTATGATATAAGTTTTATAAAAATCTGGCAAGAATTGAACACATGAGAGCGCTAACGATCTAATTTTCCATAAAATTAATGTTTTCAAGAGCATAACTCTTTTAAAAATAATTCATCGGCACTTATTTTCGAACTCGACCAAGACATTGCAAATATAAATCTATGATATAAGTTTCATAAAAATCTGGCAAGAATTGTACGAATGACAGCGCTAACGATGCAATTTTCAATATAATTAATGTTTCCAAGGGCATAACTCTTTTAAAAATAATTGATCGGCACTGATTTTCGAACTCGTTCAAGACATTGCTAATATAAATCTATGATATAAGTTTCATAAAATTCTGGCAGGAATTGTACACATAAGAGCGCTAACGATGCAATTTTCAATATAATTAATGTTTCCATGGGGCATAACTCTTTTAAAAATAATTGATCGGCACTGATTTTCGAACTCATTCAAGGCATGGCTAATATAAACCTATGATATAAGTTTCATAAAAATCTGGCAAGAATTGTACACTTGAGAGCGCTAACAAGACCAGACGGACGGACGGACGGACAAACGCCCGGTATTTCCATGTCCCCCGCAACTCGTTACGCGGGGAACAATAAAAGTTATTATTACATTGAATGCAATGAAATACTGTGATTTCCCTGTAAATTAAAACCGAGAATTTAACATGTGAAATAAATCTGATAATTTCACATGTGAAAAACATCCGATAATTTCACTCTTCTGATTTCAAACAACAAGTGTGTTGTCAAGACAATGCATTAAAAGGCATTGATAATGCGTAGAAAAATTAATAGTTCCTTGTAATTTCTTTCTGCTTTATTTCCATTAAAAAAAAACCCATGGCCAATGTAACAAAAAGAATAACTAATCGAAAAATTCCAATATCGATAACTCATGGCCAACAACACTGATTATTAACGGTCTCACTAATTAGCGACAAGAAGAATTTTAGCGACAAGAAGCATCAAGAAGCAACAAGAAGCGCCAAGAAGCGACAAGAAGAAAAATTTTAGCGACAAGAAGAAAAAAATAGCGACAAGAAACTTTATTTACTTCCAAAAATAATAGATTTATAGAAAATAAATCATTTGATTATACTAAGGATCCATAAAAAATAGAGAAAAATGGCAATTAAAAATAAAAATAAAAAAAATTACCCTCCTTTTTAATCCTAACATTCAGTATACCTTTTGTTTTTTTATTAATAATGCAAATATTCAAACCTTTAAACCTGCTATGACAGAAAAATTTGTGTCATGTACTTATATATACGTATTGCTCTTTTAAGTCTGAAAAAAATCAAAGATTATTTTATCTTTTAATTTGGTTTGAATCTTAACTTTGAGGCACCAACCATGCTGACTCTATACATAAATATTGATCCATTCATCTATACACTATGCTGTAAACTGAAGGTATATCTTAAACATATATTAATGAAAAAAAGTGTTTTCTCTTGTTTCTCGCATTTAAAAAAAAAAAACAATTAAATGTATGTTTCAAAATTTATTTATTTAGAATAATTGATATTTAGATTTTTTACTCTAAATTTGTTTTCTTGTCAGTAAATTATACTTCTTGTCGCTAAATTAATCTTGATGCTTCTTGTCGCTTCTTGTCAATTCTTGACGCTTCTTGTCGCTAATTAGTGAGACCCATTATTAACTCATGCGCTAGGATCATTCGTGAGTTAATGTTTTGTTCGGTTACTCATTGAATATTTTTCAATATTTGAATTCTTCGATTAGTTATTCTATAAATATTAATTAAAGGTGCATAAGCCAAGCTGCGATCTTTAAGGATTAGTAGACGAAACAGTTTTGTTGTTTTGATATTCAAGACTTCAAGTACTCTGCTGGCAATTTATGTCGATTGATAGTTGTTGCTGACAGAAATTTGGTGGACATGCAATATCCAGATATTCCAGCAAACAAGTTCCAGATTCAAAGTATCCACCAATGACCTGTCATGTCTTATTCATGGCTGAAGTCCAGGAACAAATTTTGTCTCAAAACTAACCATTTCATTACGCACTGTGGCCTTGCCCTTTCACATACTGACTCAAAATTCAAAGGGGGTCTATATATCTCTTTCAAAGCTTAAACTGATACAGATTTGGTGCAAAAGATGTCATACCGAAACAAAATGTGTGCTCCATTTCAGCCTTTCCAGTTGCTGTGACCTTGACCTTGTGGGCTCATAATTAATAGAAGTCTTCCAACAGGACATTGTCAATCTAAAATTGGGTAATTATTGTGTTAACTAAGAATTTTTTCCTGAAAACACTAAAATATAACCAATTTTTAATCTGTTCATTGCTGCTGGGACCTTGACCTTTGACACAGAGGTCTCATCATCAATTAGGGGATTTCCATTTGAAGGCACATTATCCAAATAAGATTGCTAAAGGTCTGATTTATTGATCAGAGATATAGTCTATAAATAAAAACTTTCCCAAATTTTCAGTCTGTTTGAAGCAACTTTGACCTAATAGCTACGATCTAGAAAGTCAATACTATAGGGTCTTGCTCTTTCCAAGAAGCATTTTGTACTTTAATTTAGCGAAGACTGTACATATAGTTCAAATGACATCAGAAAGAAACCAAATTGTACCGCAATTGCAGTCTTTATTAATTGAGGCTGTAATCTTGACCTTTAATCTACTGACATCAAAATCCATTGGGGACCTCTTCGTCCACTGGGGTATTATGAAACTAAGCTTGGTCAAGATGTTCATGTAATTGAAATGTTGACAATCAGACGGCATTCATCATATTATATGCTGATTTCAACTACATCCCATATGTGTTAATAAATTTAGTGTTGTAAGAGAAGTCAAAGCTATTCTTCTCTAAATTAGCAGTTGTTTACTGTTTACTTTCACAGGAATAAAAATTAATTGCATAAAAAAAACAAGTTTAAAATCGATAATCTCATTCCTCATTGTCAACCCTTCTTATTAACATTCAATACCAGAGGTATGATTGTCTACCCATGTTAATATGATTTTTTTTATCAATTTATTCAAATTTTCAATAATGATTCAATATTTCAACATATCTAAGTACTAAATAGATATTGTTGAAGTATTGAATCATTATTAGTATAAGGGGGTACTGTAAAAGTTTGTGGAACTTAAAATCTGAAAGGAAATTTTAATAAAAACTTTAGAGCCTCTATCGCTCACCTGCATCTTCAATAATGGCCACTTTTTAGTAAAAATCATCATTAAAGGGGAATTACTCTATTAAGAGTTAACTGACAATTTCTGCCATGTTGACATATTTGTAGATCTTATCCTGCTGATAAGTTTCCTTTTTAAAGTTTTTATTTATCTTTTATAGTTTTCAAGATAATAGGCAAAAATGCAAAAAAAAAATGTTAAAAGTATCATTAAAGGGTAATAACTCCAATAATGAGTCGACTGAAGATTTCAGCCATTATGGCTTATTGGTGGATCGTGTCTTGCTTATCATTTGTGCTATTTAAAGTTTCTATCTATCTATTACAGTTTTCAAGATATTAGGTAAAAATGGGAAAAAATCGTCATTAAAGGGCAATAACTTCAATAAGGAGTCGACTAACAATTTCGGTCATGTTGACCTTGTAGATCTTGTCTTGCTGATCATTTTTGCTATTTAAAGTTTCTATCTAATATATTTTTAAGATATTAGGCAAAAACACAAAATATTGGTAAAAATCGTCATTATAGGACAATCTCTAATAAGGAGTCGATGATTTCAGCCATGTTGACTTGTTTGTAGATCTTGTCTCTCTATCATTTTTTCTATTTAAAGTTTCTGTCAATCTAGTATAATTTTCGAGATAATGGGCAAAATTTTTTAAAAATGGTGATGACAAAAGCTCCCTTGGCCTTTTGGCCAGGTGAGTTAAAAATGAAAGCAGAAATCTCATATTAGTATTTATATCATAATACCCTTTTGACACAGAGATATGTCTCACCTATGTGTTATTTCGATAGTGTAATGTAAATGAAAAAGTTTTAGTCAATAGACCAAGACTGCGGAGAAGGGGCGAAATGATGTCAATGGAATGAGATGTGCCTATGGTAAAACAACTGCCAACCAAAAATTATTGTCTTACCATTAGTGGTTCCTCTTACAGTGACTAATCACAAACTTAAACATTTGTTGACGACACCAGATCACTTGAAAAGTTTTCAAATGATAAGCAAATCGAAACACATAAATTATGACCAGATTTTGGAAAAATCTTGAAACGAACAATTTTTTGGGGTTTAGAACTACAAGTAAATTTTTTCACACATGACCTTACAAATTTGAAAATTGGCATTCCACAAATATCAATGAATCCACAGTATATTAAAACAGCAGCACATTAAACAAAACAAAATGGCTTTATTCTTCAAAGTTCAATATAAAACAATTTGTGTACATAAAAGTACTAGTTCGAAAGACACAATAATAATAATAACTCCGTATGTATATCATACTAATTATTTACTTTTAAAAGTCACAGTTTACAATCATCTTTGAAAAAATTGTATGTGTACTGTACATTACAGTTTACTGTAAAAGTTTGTTGACCAAAAAATCTGAAAAGAAATTTTAGTAATAAAACTGAATGCAGAAATCGCATAATCATACTTCTCTTCTCTCTATTAGTAATTATATGTTAAAGTTCATAGTTTGCTATGACAAACCCCATAACTTATATAAGTCGGATAAAAAATAGAATAGGTCTAAACTGCCATTAGCTAATCAAGATTACTGAAATCAAGCGGAGATTACAGATTAGGAGTTGTTGATACCAAACACCATCAAATTTTACACAAATGGCAAATGGTATTTAGCAATGGGAATCCCAAAACTGATTTCAAATTATACAAATGTTTTTCCCATCACTTCACATGAATGTTGCATTTGTAAGATTAAGATGCTTCTTTACACTAAATACACCAAACACAAAAGATCTGTTGGTCCCCTTCTCTGGTAACTGTAACATTTAAAAGAGTAAAACAAAAGAATGATTAAAACGAAATAAAAAAAAAAAATATGAGATAAATGTAAATTTGAAAAGAACAAAACCAACTAAGACAAAAAAGTAAATAAAAAGTCAATGCAGTAGAAACTCCATGGAAATGACCATGTCATCAAAATATTACAATTAGATACACTTAAGATTACAATATACAATAATGTACAAGATCTAGATAAGGGCTACAAATGATACAGTAAGTTGTCCTTTAGTATTTTCAGCCTCTCTCTTTTGCAACCACAATAAACTGACAAAGCACTGAACTGGTTCATCTCCAAAACAGTCATGACAGTGAATATATAGATAGATACATCACTTTAATTTTTTCCATGTTATTGACACATTTCCATTGTATGAAGAGTTCAGACCCTTGTGAGTACAGAGATTGAATATGAACCGGGTCTGAATCATTTGGGTTATCTATAAAAGTGCTTTGAATGCAATAAGTAAATGAGATCTGGAACTGCATTTGTTACAAAAGAAAGACAGAAATGTGCTCAGATTTATAAATGAAACAAATTTACTCTGTACTGTTTTTAATATCACAACTTGAAGAAGTAGCCTGAAAACATGATCAATGTTGAATCAGCCTCTTTGATCAGTAGGTACATGTATGCACAAATAAACCTGTAAGTTTACTGAATAAAGTATGTACAAATGAACAAACACATACAAACAAAAAAAAGACAATTACCTTGCCTTATGATATTCCATTAAAACATTCTACCTTTCATAACTTTGACATTAAGAACATTGATTGAAAATGATCAAATCACAATACCTGTATGATCAATAATAAACTTTTCAATTCCATCTAACAGTCATAACGCTTTCTTTTCTAAATGTTCTGTGCCAAGCTTATACAAACTATTTTATCAGTACTTTTCTAAGAATCAAAAGGACCTCCAATGACAACAGATTAGTATAACAAGTGTTTCATGACATCCCTATTTTTGTGTTACTCTACTACACTTAATTCAACCTTCAGAAGGTCAATAATACATTCAAAATGTTTGTCACCTGATTAACCTGGTGACAATACATTGTTAACAGCACCAATGTTGAGGTTTATGGCAAGTCATTTCTTCAGGACAATAGCACTTTTTAATTTCACTTTTCCTTTCTTTTTTGCCAACTTTTTTCTCAACTGTTCTCTTATTTCTTCCTCTTTTTTCTCTTCTTTCGCTTGAACATTTTTGAGTATTTTGTGTCTGAGTTCATATTCTTGATGTTCTAAATCCATCTTTCTTTTTCTTTTCTGTTCTTCTTTTCTCTGTTTTTCCTCTGATTTCCTTAATGCCTCAGCTTCTACTTGTTTCTTCCTTTCATCTTCTAGTTCTATTTCACGCTTTTCCAGGTCTTCTTTCACTTTCTCTTCCTAGAATCACAGAAAATACAAAATTGTAATAGTATCTTAAAGCAATTCCATAAGTTAGGGTAGAAAATATTGCTTTGTTTGTGTGTTCATTTGAGAAGAAGTTGCTTCTACATTTTGGTATTTTGTTTTATTTTCATTCCTGATCAAATACAATAGGGGATTTATTTGACCTGCATATTACATATACAGCCTTATGTTTCTTGAATGTTATACAGTAGAAAATTTAGAAAATTTCCATGAAACCTATAGGTTTCAATCAGATTGTAATGCTGACACCACCATAAATAAAATGAAAGTGTAAAATTATTAACTTCAAGTCATTTCAAACTATTTTTTTTTAAATGAACAGATGTTTTATCTAAGTTGATTGTTGTGATGGGCATAATGTCTTAAAGCCATATGAAACTTCAAATTTAAAAAAAAGTTGAGTATGTTTTATATACTTGAATGGCTAAGTTATACTATAAAACAAGTGTAATGATCTTTTTTGTGAAAGAAAATCTGTTATATTACTAAAATCTCCATAAATGTACTGCTATTGAATTATTGCCTTTCCGTACACTAATTCACCTATATTTTCCTGTATGCAGTGACCTTTACTTTGAAACCTCTTGTTATAACTTCCGCCACTGCAAAGCACAAGTGCCAGGAGAAAAATGTGATAAAAGAATGTACATGTAAACAAACGTTCTATTTTCTGTTTTTAAAGACCTTTCAGGATCTCATGGTTTTGTCGTAATGATACACCTTCAAAAATTTGGAGGCAGCAATTTGATTGACTGATATAAAAGTTACCAGAACAGAAAATAGAACCAAGTGTTTTCAGATCCTTGTATGTGAAACATGGCCACAGGATATGCATTTCAATTCGATTGGGAAAAATGTGAAATTCTTTTTAAATTGTTTGAATCTTTTTATCTAACCAGAAACTAATAAAATAATGTTAATTAAAACAGCAAAGCCACTCAAGTTTCATTATTGAATAAATTGTTACAATCTTCAAAACACAAAAATGATCTGAAATCAAATCAAACAAGCAATTTCATCTGCTTAATGTCTCATGCATACTATCAAACAAGTTATTTCCTGCCTCATAAATCTTTTTTTTATTCAACAAGAATATTGCACATACTGTTAACAGTTTTGCTTCACTGGCACAGCTATCTAAGTGAAGGTCCCTGTTTATTAGTACCAGAAGGGACTAGGGAATCTTGAGGTAGATAAACTGCTATTGTGTTAGTCATTTACAAACTGTTTTTACAATATAAGTAATTATTTTTTTGCTATCATCCTAATAAAAATCCATCATATTTATATCACCTGGTGTTTTCAATTCAAAAGATTGTCTGGATTTCATATATCCAAAACTGAGTTATTGGTTTATGAGACATCTACATGTTTCTGGTTAAAGGTATTTTCAATTATAGATTAAAAAGTGTATTGTTGGCATTGTATATAAATGTATAGAGTCAAAAGGTTGTAACTGTCATATATATTCAGTACTTGCATAACTTGACAAACTATTCTATCAAAAGATTTTTATTCACCTTAACTCTTTCAAATAACTCTGTTAATAATCTGATAGACTCTAACTTCCTCTGAGCTATTAAAAACTTTCTTTCTTCTAATGCTAATTTAATCTGATATTTTTTTTCATCTTCCAGTCTTCTTTTTTCTAATCTTTGCAATCGTCTCTTTTCCTCCCTTTCTTTCCTCCTTTGTTCTTTCTTTTCAATTTTTTCTGTTCTTCTCCTTTCTTTTTCTCTCTCTTCATTTTCTTTTTTCAACCTAGACAGGATAGGAAATCAAATGTAATATAAAAACATGTGTAGCAGTAGCAATGTTGCAGTGTAATCTTGTAGACGGTGTTTTATGGTTCTCTTACTGGAACTATTTTGTTGTCATCTTTACAATAATTTTATGAAGAAAGTGTTAAAATAAATCATAAACAATATGTTTTCAATTCATACAACTGTTAACTTTTGTTTTGGTTTTTACTCAAAAGTGCATTAAAAATTTACCAATCATGCTAAATCTGCCTTCAACATTTGCTGATGGAGTTAAATATAGAAAAGCGCTTCGGATGCATTAAATTTATATAGTGTTGTTTTCATCATTATCTTATTATTTCTATCAGTACATGCAAATGGCAGAATGACAGACTTTCATTTACATGAACAAAAAGTGTAAAAATGGCCTTGGAACCATATAAAGTAGCAGCATTTTCCAGTTTATGGTGCCTGAAATTCTATATATATATATATATATATAGCTATCATTTATGGGGCATGAAACACAAAACCTACATTTTTGGGTCTAAGAAAATGTAAGAATGTCAATATTACAAATTGCAAGTATTAGAAACTGGCATACAGAGATGGAAAGGTCTACCATATTTTTTTATTCATAAGCACACCTAATAAGATTATAAATAAAACTATCATAAAATATCTAATTAGAAAACAAAACCTTTAATCATTGTCAAAGGTTTTAGCTGTAACTGTAGTAAATTGGAATGTAGACACCCTCTTATATTGCTTGCATTACACCAATACAAAATACTAAAGTGTCATTATTTATTCTGAAATGAACCTAAATCAGATGATTCAACATTAGGTATTAGTACTGACAGCATCAGAAACCTGGAAAAGTAGTAGCTATGTTTTGCTTCCCTAACATTAAATTTAAATTTTTTTTTGTTATTGTCACCATAATATGTGATTTCAACATTTTTGGCTTCATATTTACCATGTTCCTCTATAAGTCATGACTATTCACAGTGAAGCTCTGGATAAAACTCCATTGTTAATTTAAACGCTGCAGACTCCTAATAAAATATCCTAATACAGCTCATAGTAACAACTTTTGTTCATTTCAAAAACTTTGTCCACCATGAAACCAAATGATTCCACAGTGAGGAATGAAAAAAAAAATATGTGTTACCTTTCTTCCTCTTGTTTTCTTTCTGTTTCCTCTCTCTCCTTCTTCACTTTTTCTTCTCTTTCTTTCTCAAGTAACTGTAACTTCCATCTTTCTATTCTTCTCTTCTTAATACATTTATCTGATAAATGCTTTGACTTATCAAAGTCAACCTGAAAGTTAAATACATTAAAAATGAAATATGTAATATAGTATGAAACATGTGAAATGAGTTCACATTTTTCTGACGTAAAATTTCTTTGTGAAATGCTTACGTAAATTTTATGTAATGTCTAAGAAAATGTGTTACCATAGACATTGATAGCTGGACATCCTTCTCTGTCATAGTGATGCAATATTTGTAGCAAAAACTAAACAAAATCACAAATCATGATATAAACACATGGAGATTTTTTGATACTGTGGAAGAAAATTTTTATTTTCTAAAGTATATAGAATACTGATAAAATGCTTTTAATGGAGATGTGTGAGTGTCTAAATACCAGTTCTATTAGTCATGTTAATTACAACATGTGTAAGACTTAAAAACATTTTTTATGCTGTTGAACATATAATCATATCAGGGTTCTCACTAAGATGAGTCCATGAGTCCTGGACTCATCATTTTCAAAACTGGTGTGTCCAAAGATGCATCAAGCTTATAAAATGTTGTATCATCTGAGCACAATCATCATCATTTTATGACAAAAGTTTAAAAATAAATTTCTTTGCTCAATTTTGTCATGGGGACTAAAATAATAAATTATGTAGAAATAAAATTTCATCTCCTCACTGCTGGACTCACCATGGCCAAAAATGACGATTCCCTAGACTTGCCTTCAAAATTCCTAAGTGAGAACCCTGCATATTTAACAAGTATTGATACACAAATTATCAACTCATACCTTAACATTAGCAGTGTAGGCTTTTTCATCTTCTCCAATGTACAGAAACTTCATCCCTCTCAAGGCATCCATAGCCTTCATAAACCCAATATATTCCTTAAATTGCACATAAGATTCAAATGTCAGATCTTGTCCAAATGAAAATGTCTGGATCCCAGGGACCATTTCTTTTCTGTATGGATCCAACATTGGAATGTCTACACAGCGTATTTCACCGAACCCCTCAAACACTCTCCGTAAAACCATTTCACATGGCTTGTCTTTGGTTTTACTGTGATAGGATGCAAACCATCGACTCGGCAGATCTTTAAAGTGAATTGTATCTGGTCTTTCACCTGGCTTCATTTCATTCATGTGTTTTGCATCTCTAAAATAAGAGTCCCAGTCATGTTTGAGAGGAAATGATATTTTTGCTTCCCCAGCTTTCACTTTCAATGTTTCTGAAAACCCACTGAGTTTGATGGTCTTACCTTCCAATCTCTGCATCAAGGTTTTTATCAAAGATTTATTCTCCAATTCACCTTCTAGTCGGATGAACTCTAGAGTACTTTTAACGATTTTGAGAGACAAGAAAACATGAGGTTTAATCATGTGTTTGATTTTTTCCATGACTTCCCAATTAGAAATAGTCTTTCCTGGTTCTTTCAATGCAGGAAGTTGAACACAAACATTAATTTTTGCTATTGGTTTTAGATAAAGTCCCTGAGGTTTGAACAAATCTATAGCTTCTGAAGTGTCACTACAAGCAGCTGTATTTCCTGCCATTGTGCTGCTCTGTACAAGTAAAATCGAACTAAAGTCAACTAGACACTACCTCTCTTGCATGCAATTCATGTATCTGAAAGAGAACATTAATTAACATAATAGTATGATATATGTACATGTACCGGTATATACTATACTGGGATTGACATACATGCATTCTCTGCCACATTCTATATGTGCCTGTCCCAAGTCAGGAGCCTGTAATTGAGTGGTTGTTGTTTGTTAAACTTTATCATATTTGTTTTTTCGTTTATTGTTTTGTAAAGTGTGTTCTTGTTTTGTGCTGTTGCACCACTGTCCCAGGTAAGGGGGAGGGTTTGGCGCCATCTAACTAGTTCAAACCCAGTGCATTTGTATGCACCTGTCCTAAGTCAGGAGCCTGTTGTTCAGTGGTTGTCGTTCCTTTGTGGTTCAAAGGTGTTTTGCATATTTTTATATAGATTAGACCGTTGGTTTTCATGTTTAAATTGTTTTACACTAGTCATTTTGAGGCCCTTTATAGCTTACTGTTCGGTGTGAGCCAAGGCCCCATATTGAAGGCCGTACTTTGACCTATAATTGTTTATTTTTATACATTGTGACTTGGATGGAGAGTTGTCTCATTGGCACTCATACCACATCTTCCTTTTTATATATGTTAATATGATAAATAAAAGATACAGTCATGACAGTAATTGCTTTATTAAATTTAACACTCTACTTAAGTACCGGTATTAAAGTGTAAAATAGTACATTTCCATGCTTTACTACAAATGTCTGCAAGATATAGATGAATGCATAAAAAAGAACAATGTATCTAGGATTTAAAAGGAACATAATAATTTCATTCCTGAAAAAAAAACCTTACGGAAGATATCAGGGATAAAGAAATCATAAATTAGTCTAACTTTTACCAAATTTTATCATTAGCATGATCTTGATGATATATAAATAAAGAAGCTTATTGGGAAAGTACATGTATTTATGATTCCACCTGCTGGAAATTTAATAAAAAGTAGTACTTTACACCAAGCTTTTCATTATATTATTGTTTAAAAACTTAACAAACTGATGAATTGTCCTTCAATTCTTTCTTTTTGACTGAAAATATGTATTAAGATTATAATATAGTTTACAGTTGTTGTGTAACCATTGTGTCTGGAAAATGAATTTCTTGGATGAACTTCAACTGTCCTACCTATAGTTTGCAGCTGGATTGAATGTTTAGACTTGCTTTCATTGTATTTACATTTATTGGAACAGTTCTAAACGTTGCACAAGATCTTGTTTTCCTGCATGTCCTTTATGAGTTGCTGTATAAAATCTTATATGAAGTAAACACCCAGTTATAATGTTGGACAGCTTGATTCAATATTAGCAGGTTAAATACTGTCCGAGTTTACTTTGATCATGTTGATATATTTTTTATTGTTTTTATATTATTTCCTTTTTATTTGTGTTTTTGTTATCTGACAAATGTCTGATATTCTGTTATTTAAGAAAGAGAAATGCTTTATTTGTCATGTACCTTTTGCATGACCACTGATTAAGATCTCATAATAGTTTAATACTACATGTTCATGTGCTGGTTTATGGTTTTCTTATGTCATATCTTTTCGTATATTATTCATGTTATATGTATGTGAACGTTTTATGTTATACTACCAATGAGACTTAAAATAAAATATTGATCTATCTTTCTGAACTTGGGACAAATTATTTAGAAAAATAATAATTCAATAGAACCACACTTTTAAGGCAAAATCTGGAAAAATTACAGGTACATGTATCTCCTAAACCATTTCAGTTACGATACATACACTCCATATCAGGGTTTTTAGCACATGCTCAAGGTAGAAATAAACAAAATAAATCATAATGTTTTCACGAATATAGTGATTTTTAACAATTGTTAACTTTAAAATAAATCACGATTTTAAAAAGTTAGCGGATACCATTTCAAGGTTTAATTAAAATGATGGTTATGAGAAAAAAAATGTTTTAACATGTTTTATTTGATTTTCGTTGAGATCAAACATTTTTGTTAACCAGACAATTGGACAGTCAGGGGACTTACTTAAATGAGTGGTTTTCTAAATCACTGATTCACCTTGGAAGTAAGAGTTGTCTTTCTTTAATAATCACCTATTTAAGTAGTACAAATTAATCACTAGACTAAGTGATTTAATTTTATTGTAGCTTTAAATATAGAATACTAATGATCCAGGGACTAATTACATGTATGTTGCTAAAATTATCAGAACCAACATCTGTGTTGATAGGATGACCAGGTCATGTCAGGTGATGACCTTGTACTAAATCTAGGATAATGACATAAAAATCACTTGTTTAAGTATCATACCTCAATTTCCCTCCAAAAAATCACTTCTTTAAGTATCATTATTTTAATAACCCCCACTAATTTCAACACCCCCGAACAGTGAAATTTTGATCGCGAACAGTAGAATTTTATTACATAATCTATAAGATGAAACCTTGAATTTTACAGGAAAAATACTCCCACTGCTGGGGAAAATCTGTTAAGATAGTATCAGTTCATTATGTAAAGCCATTTTTATAGCATTTTTTCAACTAAAATAGAATTTGCAGCTAAATGATTGCAGCAAAGGCATAAACCTTGCTGCTTAAAAGAAGCAAAAAGTTCATTTTTTCAATTTTACTAATGAAAAGATATTATCTGGGTCTCACTAATTAGCGACAAGAAGCGTTAAGAAGCGACAAGAAGAATAATTTTAGCGACAAGAAGCGACAAGAAGACTATTAAGCGACAAGAATTTTTTTTTTTTATTTAGATTACTTAATCCAAATAAATATTAAAAAAATATGCATTTAATTTGTTTTCTAATATATGGGCAGAAATAAATTGAATTTTTTTTTTATCATATTGATTGAGTGGAGAAATTAAACATTTGTAAGGAAGAAAGGGATTGTGTAGTTTTTATTAAATATAAAGAATATGTTTAAGATTCTGTATGTGCTGTTTTCAGCAGAGTATGAATAAACGAATGGAGATAAAGATGTGATTAATTGACTCACAATTGTTGTTTTTCCATTGCAATGGAATTCTTGACTCTGATTTTCGTGCATTGTAAACGTAATCCTTTATAGTAGGAATAACTTTTTGCGTAAGGTATGGACCAACCAGGTCTTCATCCTAAGGTAATAACAGTACACACAATGTGAAACATCTGAGATTAACGAGGCGCGTGTCCCTTGTTTTATTGTTACAATAACATCTGATTAACACCTTCAACTTTGTACACGCGTCAGACTATACAAATACACGCGCCAAAATATACAATCATTGTAAATAGTGACCACCTGTTGAAAACTCAAGATTGTCATTAATTTCCTTTAATCTTCAATCAACATTAAACTATGCATTACACATGCTAATTATCGTTAAATGAGGCAATACACAAAATAAAATGATGAAAAATATTCACATTTTAATTATGTTTTCATCTTGTTTGATTTCAGTTCTTTGTATTTCACAATTTGTGTCTGTGTTTTCTGGACAATGATGCACAAATAATTCATTTTGCAAGTTTATTATATATTGTACAAAGAGAGTTTTAAAAACAAATTATAAGATAAATATACCATTGTTTTAAAACACAAGTAAAATTAATATCATTATACGACAGGGTAAACGTAATACTTGCTGTAATACATAATAAATAATAAAATATCACAAATAAATATATCTAGATCTATGTTTCAAATTTTTTTTCTATTTATTTATTGATAGAATATTAACTTTCTTGTCGCTAAAATTGTTTTCTTTTGCATATTCTTTTCATATTTATTTGGAATAAGTAATTTTAGTTAAAAAAAAATGTTTTCTTGTCGCTAAATAGTCTTCTTGTCGCTTCTTGTCGCTAAATTATTCTTCTTGTCGCTAATTAGTGAGACCGTATTATCTAAACCTATGTGTTTAAAATTTTGGTAAAAAACAAAATCACAATTTGTGACAAAACTTCGAATTTGCTACTTAAATAGGTGATTTAAAAATCACTTATTTCAATAAGACCCCTGACTGTTGGACCTGTGAGTTATTATTATGCTTGTCCTACGGTATAAATGGCGGACTTGTCCCATGATCCAGCAAGTCTGAGATTGATATATATTGCAGTTGTACATGTATACACCAATTTCGAGTTGTTTTATATGAATGGGTTACACTGGTTGACTTGGGGTCTACAAAACTGAAATGGCAAAGCAGATGGACAATCAGTGAAACAGGGAGACAGTATACGATCTAGTACCTATTGTTGGGAGAGTAGTACAACTAGACATACCTAACCCCGAATTGGAAGAATATTATCAGAATTAAGAACAGGCTACAACAGGCTAAATAAATACAGAAACCAAATAGGTCAATCCCTCACGACATATTATGAATGCGGTGAAGAAGAAAAGACTGAACACTATTTAATATACTGCCCAAGATACAATCTGGAAAGAGAAGAATTGATAAGACACCTGGAAATACTAAACATTCCAACAGACATACAAACATTATTATCACCACCAAAGAGAGAAACCTACGAAAAAAAAGCTCAAATTGTAGGAGAATATATATCTAGATCAGGGCGTTTTCAAGAACTGGTAAGCCCTGAAACCCGATCCTGCGCCTAAATAAATATTCTAACTACCGTGAGAAATTACCATGAGCAAAGGTGTACCATAAATTAATAGAAAATTATTAGTACAGATAGACAAGTTGTATCAATTTAGACCTTAGGATCAGGATCAGGGTCAATCAACGTAATCAACGTCATCGAACAATCAGTTCTTACTGTGACATAATAACATAAGCATTGTGAAATAGGAAATTTAAAGGAAAGTGCACGGAATCGAACTCGTCATTAGACACCTGTTTATAATTTGTTGAAACTTGAAGACAACATCCTGTATGTTTCCTTCTAGATTATTATTTTTTTTAAATTGGATATTTACTGGATATTTAAAAAGCTAATGATGTATCCAATTGGTATAAATTATATGTTAGTTATAAATGATTTGTTGTATAAATACAGAAACCATCATAATTTTACACCATGCAAACATAAGTTATGCTCAACATTTAACTTCGTCCTCTTTCACATGTGTCACCTGTCTATTATTAATACAAACTGTCTGAAAATAAGTTAAAATTACTTTTCTGACTAGAAAGGCTGCAGTTCAGAGCTTTACATCGTCTGTATTATAACGTTCGAAAATGAAAGTCGAATTTTGTTTGTGCTTTGTCTAATTTTCAAGTCAAAGTAGGGAAGATTACGGGAAACTAAACTACACGATAATAAAAATAATTGTATGCATCTTAAAAAAAGAGATGAAAATATAAATCTCATTGACGAATTTATTAAAATGTAAAGTTTTAATAATAATTTTACATTATTAAGTACTAACCGAAAGAATTTTTCTATCTTCTTTAGATAAATTATTATCGATTACAATGAATTTCATCAACCGGAAGCGGCATATTCAACGTGGTGAAATTCGTCTGTCAGTGTACAGAATACAGAATAGTGTACTCAACCTGTCAACTACCCTCCTCAACTAAAAATGTCAGATATATCTATTTTAACAGCTCATGCAGAACAGGCTGTGAGTATTCCCTAAAAAGTATTTTCAAAAACACGTCTCTGACATTTATTTATTTATTTATATATTTTATAAACATAAACTGCCATAACTATCCATACAGCTGCAGAGACTGAGGAAAACTGACGTATTGACAGATGCAATGTACATAAACATGACTGTACTGTATTTAACATTTAAGTCCGTATAAGTAGCTATTTAAAAATAACACAAAAAAAATACATGACAACTGGTACCAAAGGCAAAGACAAGGTGGACCATGACTAGTCCAAATAATTATGACGTCTTGAAAGGCAATTTTAATTTTTTTCTGTGACGCCTTCCTACGTCTTGAAAGGCTATTTTAATTTTTTTCTGTGACGCCTTCCTACGTCTTGAAAGGCTATTTTAATTTTTTTTCTGTCACAGAAAAAAATTAAAATAGCCTTTCAAGACGTCATAATTATTTGGACTATACCATGACCACTTTTACTTCTTCTATGTGGTTAATCTGCAGTCATAACGCAGATATACTGTGCGTGTGTGTCAACCAGTACACTCAGATCAATTTATAGACATCTTGCACCACTTTTAAAGACAATTCTGACTAGTTTGAAAAGAAAACTCAAACCAGTTTGAATAGACATTTCAGACATGCAGTTAGTTGAAAGAGGTATCTGGTCCGTTCGCTCCTAATACACGTTCGCACCATACACCTTTGCACCCCACATGTTTGCCCCCTGCATGGGTCCTTTTGCACCCTATTTTTATTGAAATACTGGTTGAATTATCAGATGTTTTTTATACATTGTTAGACAAAATGCTAGATGTTACTGATGTATATATATCAAGATATTTATATTTTTATGAATAAGACTTCAGGAATCTTTAAATGGTTCTTTTTGCGATTTGATGATTAATTATTGATTGTTAATTATGTATGATTACTGTTAATTGGTATTTACAAAGCTACATTTGGTATCATTCATGTCATTGTTCTGTGTTTTGAAAATCATAATGAATAAAAATAAATCATAGATATAACTTGAGTTCTTCTTTACCTTCAAAGTGTACCTTCAAGCTTATTTACATATGAAAATAAATACTCTATATCGTAACTGATAGCTGTAATACAACACCAATTAAGTATATATATATATATATAAGCAAGTCTTAATTGAAAACAACGTTCAAACCTATGATTCTGTTGGATAAAAACTGCAATTTTTATACGTGTGCATGCAAAACAAATTTCTTGGTTAAGGGGTCTAAATACAGCACAAACAACATTTTCCAAAAGACCAAAAAAGTGACAAAGTATATTTTAATAAAACGCATTTGACTAGCAGGTCGAACAACGGATGTTCTTAAACCCTTTGTTGGTACCTTCAATCTTCTCTTTACACATGGCAATAAATGAATAAATGCTCTGTAGGTACTTATATCTGACATGCAACATTATGAACACTTAAAAAAATAAACATGTGCATTGTGCCCTGGCTTTTGTGTAATTCCTTCTTGTCGTGGCAATGTCATTGTGACGAGTTTGGTATCTTCTGCCTTTCTTTTACAAGTCTTAGATGAATGAACTTTGCCTTGATCATCTGATCATTATGACAATTTTTTATGCCAGATCAAGTTCAAATTTGGGTAGGGTCACTTTTACCGTTCTTCAGTTATGTCCCTTTATAACTATATGCCATGCAAGCGGGGGCATCATCTGTGTCCACATGTGGACACTATCCACATTTATTACTCATAATTCATTTCGTCAAAATGATTAATAAAACACTAAACATGCTAAACAAAGGAAACCTGTTTACGTTTTTAGAATGTCACTTTATTTTGAAACAATAAAAAATGATTCAACACAAAACCAATAAAAAATGTGCAATTGAGTAGGGTGCGAACGGACCCTGGGCGTGAAAGTGTGGGATGCGATGTGAAAGAGGGCAAAAGTGAAATGGAGCATGCAAAACAAATTTCTTGGTTAAGGGGTCTAAATACAGCACAAACAACATTTTCCAAAAGACCAAAAAAGTGACAAAGTATATTTTAATAAAACGCATTTGACTAGCAGGTCGAACAACGGATGTTCTTAAACCCTTTGTTGGTACCTTCAATCTTCTCTTTACACATGGCAATAAATGAATAAATGCTCTGTAGGTACTTATATCTGACATGCAACATTATGAACACTTAAAAAAATAAACATGTGCATTGTGCCCTGGCTTTTGTGCAATTCCTTCTTGTCGTGGCAATGTCATTGTGACGAGTTTGGTATCTTCTGCCTTTCTTTTACAAGTCTTAGATGAATGAACTTTGCCTTGATCATCTGATCATTATGACAATTTTTTATGCCCACCCCGTAGCGGTGGGGGCATGAAATTTTACCCTTGTCTGTCCTTCCGTACAAATGTACGTACGGACCGACAAGGGTAAAACTTCATGCCCCCCACCATACGTATGTACATACGTATGTACGTCCCAAAATTGGTTTCTGTTCTCTAACTTGAGTTTGCCTCAATCAAATGTTATGAAACTTATACACAATGCTGATTACCACAAAACACAGATCAAGTTCAAATTTTGGTGGCGTCACTTTAACCTTTCTAGAGTTATGCCCCTTTATAAATGGAAAAATTGCAAAATTTTTAGTTTCCGTTCTCTAACTTAAGTTTGCCTCACCCAAATGTTATGAAACTTATACACAATGCTTATTACCTCAAAACACAGATCAAGTTTTCAATTTTGGTGGCGTCACTTTAACAGTTCTAGAGTTATGCCCTTTATAAATGGAAAAATTGCAAAAAAATTTTTTTCTTCTAAATATCAAGTAATTTTTAAAATTGGAGTTATCTTCCTTTGTCCATGATTATAGTTGAATCAACCACAATCAATGCTTTATACAATGCAATGTTTAATTTTGACTTCCACTGATAAAACACAGATCAAGATGAATTTGGGTAGTGTCACTTTAACCATTATTGAGTTATGCCCCTTTATAAATCGAAAGATTGCAAAATTTTTAGTTTCCATTCTGTAACTTAAGTTTGCCCCAACCAAACATTGTGAAACCTATACACAATATTCATTACCACAAAACTAAGATCAAGTACAAATTTTTTGTTTCCGTTTTCTAACTTTAGTTTGCCTCAACCAAATGTTATGAAACTTATACACAATGCTTATTACTACATGATACAGATTAAGTTATAAAACTTATACACAACCGTTCTAGAGTTATGCGTGTTTACAAATAGAAAAATTGCTGAATTTTTAGTTTCTGTTCTCTACTTAAGTTAGCCTCAATCAAATGTTATGCGACTTACACACAATGCTTATTACCACAAAACTCAGATCAAGTTCAAATTTGGGTAGGGTCACTTTTACCGTTCTTCAGTTATGTCCCTTTATAACTATATGCCATGCAAGCGGGGGCATCATCTGTGTCCACATGTGGACACTATCCACATTTATTACTCATAATTCATTTCGTCAAAATGATTAATAAAACACTAAACATGCTAAACAAAGGAAACCTGTTTACGTTTTTAGAATGTCACTTTATTTTGAAACAATAAAAAATGATTCAACACAAAACCAATAAAAAATGTGCAATTGAGTAGGGTGCGAACGGACCCTGGGCGCGAAAGTGTGGGATGCGATGTGAAAGAGGGCAAAAGTGAATGGGAGCGAACTTGATTTTGGGCGAACAGACCCTGATTCGCTGAAAGATGGGAAGAAAACTTTTATCAAAACAATTGGGACCACTTTAAAATGCATTTCGGACCAGTTTAAAAGAAAAATTACTCTGACCAGTCTGCTTACCCTTCTGGAGCACCTGAGATCACCCCCAGTTTTTGGTGGGGTTTGTGTTGCTTAGTCTTTAGTTTTCTATGTTCATGATGTTGTGTCATCTGTACTATTATTTGTCTGTTTGTCTTTTTATTTTTGGCCATGGCGTTGTCAGTGTGTTTTCGATCTATGAGTTTGACTGTCCCTCTGGTATCTTTCGTCCCTCTTTTGAAAGACAATTTAGACCACTTACAAATGTATTACAACTGTTTGCATAAAAAGATTTGTTGTTTTATTTATTTTATGGATGTATCTGTTCATGTGACTGTGTTTTCTGATAGAATTTTAAAAAATTTAGCAACGGGGGACACTTTTATAAAAAATCATTTTGTATTTTTTGATCATACACATTCAGTTTTTGATATGATCAGCTTATGCTAATTGATCTTGTTAGTCTTTTAAAGTGTTCCAAGTTGTCTTGGTCTGAATTGCCCTGATTCCCTTATTTTGCTCCAAATTAAATCAATAACAATGAATAAAATTATTTTGAAATTAAAATTTTTTTGGGGAAAAATTAGCAGTTATATATATATTGTACATTTCATGAGGCCTGAACCATAAACATGGTAAATAACCTGTTGATCCCAAAACACAGCTGGGATATACATACATGTACATGTACCAATTTATCAGATCTCAAATGTGATGACCACATTTCTTTCAAGTGCTTGAAAAAAAAAAGTACACTAAAGAATTTCCTGTGAAATTCCTTTCAAGATTGGTGGTGGTCTTAGCTATAGATATTATAGACCCCTGTCTTAACAGCTTTTATTGAAGTTATGTTCCTCATTTTGTTTTCTAGATTGTCCAAACT